TGTATGAAGGAATTGAAGGAAAATATCAGAGCACAGTGGTAAAAGCTCAAGCGATAGAGTATCTAAGGAAGTGCCAGTGAACATTTGCTTTCTAAACTGAAAGCAATGTGCCCAATTTTAGTTTCAGAAACTATACCCTGGATACAACTAATAGTTTAGAACGAGGGTGAGCAAGGCCATTTTCAGAGTGGCAGCTGTGTTGAATCTTGTGCAGAAAAACAGAGGGGCACATCCATGTAAAAAATTAAGAGGAAGCCTGATAGATGGAAACAGGAAGTGAATGCGAAACCTAGAAGGCTGCCCTGTCTCCTTTCCTAACCTCTTGTTTAGGTACCTCCCCCAAATTGCTGATGCAGGAACTAGTGATAGCACTGACACAAAGATTCCCCGGGAAAAATCTGAGAAGAATAATAAATCCTATCCACAGATAAAAGACAGAAAAAAATTGGCAAAAAGCTGTGAAAAAGACAAAGCAAGTGAATAAAGGAACTATCGAGACTGAACAAAGTAATATCCCATATAATGTGAAAATGCCAAGTAAAGAGTCGAAATAAGATGGATAAAACTGAAGTACTGTGAAAAAGATAGCAAGGGAGCAAGGATAGTTAGAAGAAGGATAAACAAAAATAGACTTCAAATGGTTTCAAGAGAAAGTGATAAATAATAATATGCAGGCAAAGAAGTTCTGCCCAACCCAAAATTAATTTCCCAGGAAGAAGAAAGGGCAGACTCTTTTTCAAAATTATAATTTCAGACGAATTTGCTTAAAAAAATTTGAATATACATATTGGAAAAAAGGCAACATAGATCAAGTTAGAGGAAATTAGCTCAGAGTGGTTAATTTTGGTGGTTGCTTACTAAAATTTAAAGGACAGACCAAAAAATTGGGGTTCCACTAGAAAAAGGTTAAGTCAGAATGAAGACATGTCAGATTGGTTTGAAATTAATCAAATACATCCATTCAATGAGACAGACCACTTTGAAATATCTGTATTTCGATTACATATGTAATACTCAAAGGAAAAATGATACATGTTCTTATTGGGTAAGTCAAACTGTGTTAAGTTTGCGAGAACTAAGAATGTAGCAAATATTTTTCCATGAATTCTTTGAGAATGAACATAAATCAATGAGGAGATGAATAGGGGAAATTGATAAAAAGACATGTCATGACTATTCAATATATTTAATTATAAGTCTGAGATTAAAGAAATGTAGAGATTCAGATGACAGAACAAAATAAATGAAAATGCCATATGAAAATGTAGAAGTGAAAAGTGAATAAGTGAACAAGAAGGGGTTTAAAGGAATTTTGATGATTATTTATAATTTAAATTTGATAAATCATGTAAAACAAGCCTGAATCAGACTTAAGAACATAAAGTAAACAATAAGAAAGTAAAAATTAGGCTCCATGCCTACAGCGCAGTGGTTACAAGTGGGGGGTTCAAACCTGGCTCAGGCCAGCTAAACAAAAATGACAACTGCAACAAAAAATAGCCAGGCATTGTGGAGGGCACCTGAAGTCCCAGCTACCTGGGAGGCTGAGGCAAGACAACCTCTTAAGCCCAAGAGTTTGAGGTTGCTGTGAGCTGTGATGCCACAGCACTCTAGCAAGGGCAACTCTGTCTCAAAAAAAAAAAAAAGTAAAAATTAATGAGTAAATTGTAGGG